TGATGGGATTCAAACCCATGACACAGTGCCTTGCACTGCTTAAGTAAAAGATAGTGAAAGAACTTAAGCAGTAGAAAAGGAACTCAATATAGCAAAAGGATTTTAATGTTAATGGGATTCAAACCCATGACTCACTGCCTTGCACTTCTTAAGTAATAGACAGTGAAAGAACTTTGGTCAATATAGCAAAAGAACTCAGTATAGCAAAAGGATTTTAATGTTGATGGGATTCAAACCCATGACACGGTGCCTTGCACTCCTTAATTAAAAGACAGTGAAGACTTTTATCAGTAGAAAAGGAACTCGGTATAGCAAAAGAATTTTAATTTTATTGAGATTCCAACCCAACACACACTGCCTTCCACTGCTTAAGTAAAAGACAGTGAAAGAACTTTTGTCGGTGGAAAAGGAACTCAGTACAGCGAAAGGATTGTAATGGTAATGGGATTCAAACCCAGGACAAAGTGCCTTGCACTGCCAGTGAAAGAACTTTTATCATTAGAAAAGGAACTCATTATACCTAAAGGATTTTAAAGTCAATGGGATTCAAACCCAGGACACACCCCCTTGCACTGCTTAAGTAAAAGACAGTGAAAGAACTTTTACCAGCAGAAAAGGAACTCAGTATATCAACAAGAATTTTAATGATAAGGGGATTCAAACCCATGACACACTGCCTTGCACTGCTTATAAGTAAAAGACAGTGAAAGAACTCTTTTCAGTAGAAAAGGAACTTGGTATAGCAGAAGGATTTTAATTTTGATGGGATTCAAACCCAGGACAATGCCTTGCACTGCCAGTTAAAGAACTTATGAGTGGAAATGGAAGTGTGGCAAAAGGATTTTAATGTGGATGGGATTCAAACCCATGACAGACTGTCTTGTACTGCTTAAGTAAAAGACAGTGAAAGAACCTTTATCAGTTGAAAAGGAACTCAGTATAGCAAAAGGATGCTAATGTTGATGGGATTCGAACCCATGACAAAGTGCCTTGCACTGCCAGGGAAAGAACTTTTATCAGTAGAAAAGGAACTCAGTATACAAAAAGGATTTTAATGTGAATGGGATTCAAACCCATCACAATGTGCCCTGCATCGTTGAAGGAAAAGAACTTGTATCAGGAGAAAAGGAACTTGGTATAGGAAAAGGATTTTAGCGGTGGTGGGATTCAAACCCACGACACAGTGCCTTGCACCGCTTAAGTAAAAGATAGTAAAAGAACTTAAGTAGTAGAAAAGGAACTTAATATAGCAAAAGGATTTTAATGTTAACGGGATTCAAACCCATGACTCACTGCCTTGCACTTCTGAAGTAAGAGACAGTGAAAGAACTTTGGTCAATATAGAAAAAAAACTCAGTATAGCAAAAGGATTTTAATGTTGATGGGATTCAAACTCATGACACACTGTCTTGTACTGCTTAAGTAAAAGACAGTGAAAGAACCTTTATCAGTTGAAAAGGAACTCAGTATAGCAAAAGGATTCTAATGTTGATGGGATTTGAACCCATGACACTCCACCTTGGCACTGCTTTTTAAGTAAAAGGCAGCAAAAGAACTTTAGTCAGTAGGAAAGGAACTCAGTATAGCAAAAGGATTTTAATGTTGATGGGATTCAAACCCAGGACAAAGTCCCTTGCACTGCCAGGGAAAGAACTTTTATCAGTAGAAAAGGAACTCGGTATGCGAAAAGGATTTTAATGTCAATGGGATTCAAACCCAGAATGCACTGCCTTGCACTGCTTAAGTAAAAGACAGTGAAAGAACTTTTACCAGCAGAAAAGAAACTCAGTATAGCAAAAAGAATTTTTATGATAAGGGGATTCAAACCCATGACACACTGCCTTGCACTGCTTATAAGTAAAAGACAGTGAAGGAACTGTTATCAGAAGAAAAGGAAGTCGGTATAGCAATAGAATTTTAATGTTAATGGGATTCAAACCCATGACACAGTCCCTTGCACTGCTTTAAGTAAATGACAGTGAAAAAACTTTATCAGTAGAAAAGGAAATCAGTATAGCAAAAGGATTTTAATGATAATGGGATTCAAACCCATGACCCACTGCCTTGCACTGCTTAAGTAAGACAGTGACAGAACTTTTGTCAGTGGAAAAGGAACTCAGTCTAGCGATAGGATTTTAATGTTAATGGGATTCAAACCCAGGATGCACTGCCTTACACTGCTTAAGTAAAAGACAGTCAAAGAACTTTTACCAGCAGAAAAGGAACCCAGTATAGAAGAGAATTTTTATGATAAGGGGTTTCAAACCCATGACACACTGCCTTGCACTGCTTAAGTAAAAGACGGTGAAAGAATTTTTGTCAGTAGAAAAGGAACTCAGTAGAGTAAAAGAATTTTAATATTGATGGGATTCAAACCCAGAGCAAAGTGCCTCGCACTGCTTTAAGTAAAAGACAGTGAAAAAACTTTATCAGTAGAAAGGGAAATCAGTATAGCAATAGGATTTTAATAATAATGGAATCAAACCTGTGACACACTGCCTTGCACTGCTTAAGTAAAAGACAGTGGAAGAACTTTAATCAGTAGTAAAGGAACTCAGTATAGCAAAAGGATTTTAATGTAGATGGGATTCAAACCCAAGACACAGAGCCTAGCACTGCCAGTGAAAGAACTTTTATCAGTAGAAAAGGAACTCAGTATAGCAAAAGGATTTTAATGTCAATGGGATTCAAACCCAGGACGCACTGCCTTGCACTGCTTAAGTAAAAGACAGTGAAAGAACTTTTACCAGCAGAAAAGGAACTCAGTATAGCATGAAGAATTTTTATGATAAGGGGATTCAAACCCATGGCACACTGCCTTGCACTGCTTATAAGTAAAAGACAGTGAAAGAACTCTTATCAGTAGAAAAGGAACTCGGTATAGCAAAAGGATTTTCATTTTAATGGGATTCAAACCCAGGACATTGCCTTGCACTGGCAGTGAAAGAACTTATTAGTGGAAAAGGAACTAAGTATGGCAAAAGAATTTTAATGTTGATGGGATTCAAACCCATGACACAGTGCCTTGCACTGCTTTAAGTAAAGGACAGTGGAAAAACTTTATCAGTAGAAAAGGAAATCAGTATAGTAAAAGGATTTTAATGATAATGGGATTCAAACCCATGACACACTGACTTCCACTGCTTAAGTAAAAGACAGTGAAAGAACTTTTGTCAGTAGAAAAGGAACTCAGTACAGCAAAAGGATTTTATTGTTAATGGCATTCAAACCCATGATGCACTGCCGTGCACTGCTTAAGTGAAAGACAGTGAAAGAACTTTTATCAGTAGAGAGGGAACTTAGTATAGCAAAAGGATTTTAATCATAATGGGATTTAAATCCATGACACACTGCCTTGCAGTGCTTAAGTAAAAGACAGTGAAAGAACTTTTATCAGTAGAAAAGGAACTCAGTATGGCAAAGGTTTTAATGTTGATGGGATTCAAACCCATGACACAATGCCTTGCACTGCTTTAAGTAAAAGACAGTGAAAAAACTTTTCTCAGTTTAGAAAAGGAACTTAGTATAGCAAAAGGAGTTTAATGTTAATGGAATTCGAACCCATCACAATGTGCCCTGCACTGTTGAAGGAAAAGAACTTGTATCAGGAGAAAAGGAACTTGGTATAGCAAAAGGATTTTAGCAGTGATGGGATTCAAACCCATGACACAGTGCCTTGCACTGCTTAAGTAAAAGATAGTGAAAGAACTTAAGCAGTAGAAAAGGAACTCAATATAGCAAAAGGATTTTAATGTTAATGGGATTCAAACCCATGACTCACTGCCTTGCACTTCTTAAGTAATAGACAGTGAAAGAACTTTGGTCAATATAGCAAAAGAACTCAGTATAGCAAAACGATTTTAATGTTGATGGGATTCAAACCCATGACATACTGTCTTGTGCTGCTTAAGTAAAAGACAGTGAAAGAACCTTTATCAGTTGAAAAGGAACTCAGTATAGCAAAAGGATTCTAATGTTGATGGGATTTGAACCCATGACACTCCGCCTTGGCACTGCTTATTAAGTAAAAGGCAGCGAAAGAACTTTAGTCAGTAGGAAAGGAACTCGATATAGGAAAAGGATTTTAATGATTTGAAGTACAACAAAGCAGAAAGCATGGGAACAAACCATTTTGAATAAATGATCCAGTGTTCTGGGAAAGTTTTGTTTTCAACAGTGACTATGATGTATGCCAAAGACAGTGAGCAGTCAAACAGATTTACCAAGATCAAGATCATTTCAAAAAATGCGAAAGGTTTGAAGAAAACTACCAGACAGAGTATGTGTGTGTTGGTTGGACCAATGATAAAACAAGTTAAACAGCCTGCAACCTCAAGCAAACTCAAGATTGGTAATTAAGACAGTAACTAATAATTGTTACACAAGTTTTAAAATGCATACATGCTTACAATTACCCTATATGCTGTAGTGAACACAAAACCAATGAGTAAGAGTTTGGAGGTTAGGATCAGGAATTTATATCATTATCATAAATTTTGAGTTTTGATCATTCCAACAAAAGAGGAAAAAGTTCACCATAACTATTTCTTTTTGTCCTCAAAAAGATGTAGGTTTGAACTTAACTAATTCAGGATAAAATCCCAAATGAAAACCATTTAATATATAGAAGTGATTATCCTATCTATGTCTGAGATATGTTAGTTAACATTTGCATAACTATAAACATTTAATTTGTTTAGTTCGTAGGTTTCATATGTAATAGAACTGTGTGGTGACCTTACATGCTGAATTGACAAATGAATTGATTGCAAGCACAAACTGGATAAATCAACTTGCATGAATGATAACACGCATCGGTTATGACTTTACAAATTAAGGTAAGAAAAATATATTGGGCTAACAAAGAGTGATGGGTTAGTAATAAAAGGGAGTAATTCTATTAATTGAATAATCATAGATCTAAGCCCTTTGAGTTTTAAGCACATGGAATGTGAGCAAGATGTCATGATGACTTAAGCAAGGACACCAAGCAGGCAATCTAAAAGCAAAACACAATTTTACTCCTCAGTATAGGCTTTTCATATCAAATTAATTTTGTGAGCAACAAAACTGAGAGGAAAAGCATGCTTAGAAATCTCTAAGTCACAGAGTTTAATTTTTCCAATTCTTTTAACCACTTTCTTAAATTTATTTTACATTTACTGCTTAGTAGATTAGATACATTTGTGCACATTCACGTCTAAGGTCATTAGTTTTGGCATGTTTTCCTTTCCAGGGCTCGACACTAACTTTTCAGTGTACTAGCCAAGTGGCTGGTGACATCTTAGATTCTACGACAACGTCAGTTTGTTTACCAGCCAAACTGGCTAGTAGCAATTGAAAACCACTAGCCAAAACTGAATTTCTACTAGTCTGTGGCTTGTGGGCTACCATAAGTGGCGAGCCCTGCCTTCAATGTAGCTATACAAGTATGCTAATTTGTACTTTTGTATTTTAGGTACATGGAGACCCCTACTGATGACTGAAGCTGTACTAATGAAGGAGAGAAGTTAAAGTGTTTAAGTAAACTTTAAGAAAATGGCTCGGGACTGTGTACTCTTTTTGTGCTGTAACATGTGGAACAAGAAACCAGGAGAGGGTACCAGACAAATCTACACTTTCTGCTCCTCAAACGAATGTACCTACAGGTACAACTATGCTCCACGAATGGAACTTTATTAAGTCAATTTGAAGGTACAGATTTGTGAGACACCTTAAAACCCCAAAGGTTGCACCATAGCACTGGTTGGGGGTACACGGTCCCCATTTTTCCCTCATGCAGGGGTTTTTAAGGGTTTACGTGTCTGCCTTTGGTGCACTAGGTTAGTTTCACATTTTACTGAAAAGCTAAGAGCATCTCTACCTAAATCTAAACAAAAAAAGGCAACAAAACTGCTACTCAGCACCTACAGCTTTAATTATTGTTAAAAAATGTTTTAACATAAATAGGGCTCAGATTAAAACTACATACATTTACATGTACCTTTAATCATCAAATTTTTTTCTGATTCATAGTTTGGCTGTTTGATTTATTTTCAGAATACTTCTCTTATCACATTTTGTAGACTCTAGGTCGGGTATCAAATGGAAATTCTCTGTTCTGTATAGGCAATTATTGACTTGAAATCAAAAATTGCTACAAAGCTACCTATTTAAAAACTAGTAAGTTGAGTTTGACTAGTTTTAAAATAAAAGCTTTTGATGAGTGTATGATAAAGCTTATTGAGCTTACTATTAGGCTAGTTGGAAACAAACTAGCTTAAAAATTCAAGGTACAGCTTAATAAGCTAAAAAGTTAGCTACTTTGACACAAAATAGCTGAGGAATTCTTGGTGAAATTTCATTTAATTCTCTTGCCTACATCTTTAAAATGTGATTAGTATGGTGTGCTGAAAATAAAAATGAGCTGAAAATGGTTTGTTACAATCTTTAGTTTGCACCATAACACTACAGGTATGTTGTTCAATCTGAGCCTTTAAATTAGTAGCACTTGATATTCATACAATTTAATTCTTAAGATGAAATTGGCTCTTGAAATGAGAATATTTCTATAAAATTTTGAACTTGACATATCATGGACTCCCCTTCAATAAAAAGGTTTAATTAACAATAACTCTTAACCTGCAACTAATACTAATTCATTTAATTAATAGAGGGAGGAGTTCAAGATGTTCCAGTTCTGTTAGCAACAGATTCTAAATATTAGCATCTAAATAGTATACAAATTATATATGGATTTATTTACTCTTAGATTCAAGGCTGCTGGTTTTGTTTCTACATAGACTTACTACTTAGCTGGGTAATTTCAATTAGGAACTGATCATTTAAATAACGAAATGATAGGTAATAAGTTTAATGATAAAGTACAATCATGAGTCAATGGATAGTGGTGTAATGTTTATCAAACAAATCATCAACTCTTTATTAAAAAGAAAGCTTTGAAGCCTTTTGTGTCTTCTGTGTAATTTAATTGTCAATAATCTCTGATTATGTTGAAAGCTAGGTTAATCTTTTCATCCCAGTTTTAGACCTGGCCCCATTGTTTGAAGGGTTTGATGACTGGATAAATCTCTATACAGCGGATAGCTCAGTACATTTTGTTCAACTTAATCACTGGATAGCGATTTATCCATTGGAAAGAGTTCTCTGCCCTTCGTACAACTGGACTCTAATCAAAGAAAACAATTGAATGCATACATATTAATTTTTTCCCCAAAGTATTTTTCTCTAATTACATCAAAATAAACATTATATATAAGATTTATTGGCCCCAATTTGAGTGATCTTGCCCCAAATGCAGTCATAACAACAATGAGCCTCTTGTTTATTTTCACCAAAACGGGTGAAAAAAGTATATCTAAACTTGGGAAAAGGTGGACCAACGGAAAGTTGACAGAATTCATTTTTTATTGGATTTTTGGTTTGTTTGTTTGTTTTTTTTTTTTTACATATCACTAGCATCAATAAATCAATTTACTTATCATTAGCATTAATAATCCACAACAGTAGTTGCCAAGATTACACTTGGAGTCAAGTTTCTTGGCTTGAGTGCAACTTAACCTAAGCAATGTGGCATCAGGAACCCATAAGGGAACAGGAATACCTGGGGAAACTTGAGGGAGGGTGGACTAGCAGGAATGGTTCCTATGTTCCTTTCTAGTCCTTCCCCACTGCAAAAACTTAATGCAGTGAAAATAGACTAAATTAAAATTAAATTATTTATTGACAGAACCCAAGAGTCATTTTTCCTGTACAAAACGCGTTCTCTGTTCTGTCACGCAATGCTAACTATAAACCAAAGGC